GGTGTGTGTGTGTGTGTGTGTGTGTCTACTGTAGTCTTCCAAAACAGTAAATATTCTTCTACATTCATTGTAGATCTATAGCCGTGAGGGTGGCTAAAAGGGTGTAATGAAAGGATGGTATCGAATTGCACATCATTTTAATAGCCATGATGCATTGAGCAAGGTACTTCATATGTTTGGGTTCCACATCTCTAAAATGGGGCAAATTAAAATAACTTCTTTTGTAAGTTATTGAGAGAAGCATATGTGTGTGTGTGTGTATAAACATATATATATATATATATATGCACAGACAAACATATATATGCACACACACCATTTAAAGTAATTTGGGAAATTTTCCATGAGTGTTAGCTATCAATATTATAACTTTTCCTATATACTTTCAGAGCCAGGTGTCCAACCAGATGTAGCTGAGAAGAACCAGAGACTGAAAGCCTTGATTCAAGGGAGACCACACTCACTCACTCCAGAACTTTTTTTTAATGGAGACTCATGCTAATGAAAATATTAGAGCAGAAAGTAGAGCCCAGAGAGGCTGCCATCATACCATGTGTCTTTCTGGACCCTTCTGAGTTTTGTAAGTGTGTTTTTTAAATGGACACAAGGTAATAAAATTCCCCTTTCAGCTTCCTTCCGTGTGATTGGAGATGGTGATACATCTCAGAGTACTTCTATTAATGTCACCACGACTAGACAGTATAAAGGCAAAAACTTAGAAATTATTATTTCATTATATTCTAGATGGTAGTTTAGGCTGTCACCACAAAGGGATTACTTGTACCAATAATCTTAGCTCAAAATGAAAAACATTTGTAATCAAAGACCCTTAGTCTCACACCTGGTGGGCAAAAGAAAGTCCTATCTTAAGTAGCGTAGCATCTTTCTCTCTTTTTGAAGAGTTCATCTTAATGGCAGATATGCATGTGTGTCTTCACAGGGATATGTGCGTGTGAATGCAGGTGCCTATGGAGGTCCGAGACATGGGCTGCCCCTGGAGCTGCCCATGATGTGAGTACTGGTAACGAATTCAAGTCCTCCGAAAAAGCACTACATTTTCTTACCTGCTGAGCCATCACTCCTGCCCTCATGCAGCTCTTATGGAACTCGTAACAAGGGGAGAATCCAAGAAGTTTCTACAGTAGAACTGGGAAGCCACATGTTTTGTGGACACCACGGAACTACTGAGGGTTCACCGATGCCGGTAGTACAGCGTAGGAATTATCACTTAAAGGGTCTAGGTCCTCAGCTCTTGTACGTAAGTTTGGAGTTTCAGGTGCAGTGGTAAAGAAATTTTTACAAGGCAATGAAAATAGAGAATTCTCCTGATTTGGGTGACTTAAAAGGACTCTGAAGACCAAGATGGACTGTGAGCAGTAATTCTAAAGCCCAATTTGGCAAATTTTGAAGTGTCTCAGTGCTAAAACTGGAAGGATGGAGTCTCTGGTTTTGGTCTTCTTTGTGATTGTTTTCTATAAAAGGAAGGATTCTAAGATAAAACTAAGAATTTGAAAATTAATTTCAAGCTTAGGGCCTCATCAATTTCATTGCAATAAACTATAGTCACTTTGCAGTAGGTCACGGAACACAATCAACAAAGACGACCTTCCAGCACGCATCTCTGCTTTGGACAGAACAGCCATAATGACCACAATTAAAATAATTGTTGAGAGGCGTTTGCACTGGATTCCATAACACATAAAAGACAACACAACAAAATGAAACCGATTGCTTTCTAAAGAGAACATCAGAGTTTAACAGAGGAAAAGCTATTGCTGACTGTGGCAGGCAGGGACATGAGGCAAAGCCCACTGGATCCTGCCTCAGCCAGCACAGCAATAATAAACCTGTTTCCTGCAGTACACCACATCTGCCTTTGCCGAGGGTCAATGGTTAAATAAGAGTCAATGCTGTGACTAAATCACAGAAATGCATCCAGCTCTTCTGAAAATGGGTTCTCCAAGAGAACAGAACTCATACCATAAAGCGCCTGTTTTATGTAATGGGCTGGCACTTCAGAACATGTAGAATGGTATTTTCTATCTACTAGCCTTGGGGAAATTGAGAGAAAAGCTGGCAAATCATTTTTCAAAGGGCCTACTTGCCAACAGAAATCCAGTTGAGAAAGGCTAACTGATATTCCTTAATGTGAACATGCAAATGGCAGGATACGTATTAAAATACATAATATTTTATTGCAAGCAAGGTAGTCCAGCACTACCAAGAGTGGTTTTAAAACAATTTAAAACCTCACCTAGAAAACCAGAAACTAGATAAGTGATATTCATATTCCCCAAGTCCCATTTTCACAACAATAAACAACTGTATGCATTCCAACCATGATGTCACTGGAACTCAGTCACTCTGCAGAGCCACACAACCAAACTTAATCCACAGTGTGACCATCCTGGATCTATCACAACCATTAGGCACTAAACTGCCAAGTGTATTTTATTATGCAAAAATATAACTCAATCCAATGATAAGGGAATGCCATGACTTTAGCAAAACTGCCAAACAGATTCGGATTTGTTTTGTAGTTGAGGCTTTGTAAAAGGCTTACTTTTTCATTATGAGCTTCCAAATAAAGACTCACAATCCCAGATTTTGATTTTTGTGTGATATCCTGCTAATTCACTATTCCAATTCCCACTCCTTTAGTTCCGACTCATGGGAGCTGTATTTCTTTCTTTGTGGGTGATTTCTCACAAGTATACAGTGTATTTAGATCATCTGCAGCCTACACATCTTCCCTCCTGCTCCTCTGGACCCCTTAGAACCTTTTATTTTTTCCTTCTTCTTCTTTTAAAAAATATTTAAATAATTCTTTGAGAATGTTATACAACATATTTTGACAATTTCTCCCTTAACTCCTCCCTGATTCACTCCCACATCTCTAACCCCCACTTTTGTGTCTTCCTTTTAATTTGTGCTGTCCATATACTACTGGATGTGAAGCCAGCCTCTGAAGTGGGGCCGGCCTAACAGGTGTTACACTCTCCCTTCCCCAGAAGCCATCAACCACACACAGTTTCTCAGTCATGGACCCCTTTCCACAGAACCTGTATTTTTAACTAGACATACTGCTAAACATTCAAAAAGAGAAAAAAAAATCATGAGAAGGAACTTGTCTAGATTCTTCTTCCACCTTGTTGTTTAGTGTGTGATTAATAAAATCCATAGATACACCAAAGTACAAAGTGACACTAGTATGTAGTGAGGCTGTGAGTTAAACTGACAGAACAGGAAGATAAAACCATCCTCCACTTTACCACACCGATGTCGGACACTCCTAGACCACTGTCTTAGTTCCTTTCCTGGTTGCTGTGACAAATTCTCTGATAAAAGCAAACTGAAGGAGAAGGGGTTTAATGGAGATCACAGCTCGAGCGTTCAGCCTGTCCTGGCAGGAAAGCCAAAGTGGGAGGAGACTGACGTAGCAGGTCACATTGCATCTACAATCAGGAAACAGAGAATGTCCAACTCACGCTGCTGCTCACTTCTCTTTCTCCACTTACACACAGTCCAAGATCCCAGCCAGGGGAATGGTGGTGCCCAGAGTGTGCAGGTCTTCTCACGCCAACTCTTGTAATCAAGATAACCCCTCACAGGCATGCTCAGAGCCTTGTCTCTCCAGAGACTCTAGGTTGTTATCAGCTTCACAACCAACACTAATGTATCGTAATCATCCATATTCTCTTTAACACAGGGGAGAAGGGACACGTTTACCACGCTAATCCTCTGTTGTGAGTGGCAGAGCATAACTCTAATTTAAATAATCCACATGCATTTCTTAGTCAATGCCAGCTGACCTAACCAAGTAGCTGAGGTAAAATATTTGAATCAGATTGCAGTCCCTGAAATTAAAACAATGTACTAAAGATAGTAAAAAGAAACAGAAAGCCACAAAACTGGTAATAAACATTTTAGAGTGTCATTCAACTGGTAATAAATATACAGGAACAAGATTTTCTTTTTATTAATTAAACTGTCAAGGATAATTTATAGAAAAAATTAGCTCAAAATAAATAAGAAAAAATAAATACGTCAATACAATGTAATATTTATGGAGATTAGTGAGGTGGTATTTTGGAAAGCATTACAATACGTATTTACCAAAGATAACAGACTGTGTCTAAAGGGTATGGCTTAACCGCTAATATGTAGAGAAAATGTATATCCTTTAAAAAAATATGATTCTTGATTATGGATATCTTTGACTCATTCACTGAATGACTGCTTATATTCAATATTTCACTTCTGGACTAATGGAGACTTTGGTCTTTTAGCTTTTATGGATAACAGACATCTTAGAAAAATTCCTAGGACAATCGAAAATTATTAACATGTTTTTGATGCCCTGTGAATCCTTTAAAGTCTGTTTGCATTCTATAATCTTAAAAGTCATTAAAATATTTAAAATTACACCAAGCAAAAAGTTTGAAAGTGTTAGATTGTACTTAATGTCTAACAGAATATTTGATCACCCAGGCAGAAGTTTACTTTAGAGTTGCTCTCTAATAAACAGGAATCTGTGGCTATGTGATTATTTGATCATTTATTTTTTAAGAAAATATTCATGTTAAGTGTAGTATGAAGATTTTACAGCTATTCAAGCTCTCCTCTAGTTCACTGTAAGACAGTCCTTTAGGGAAACAGTTAAGACTCATCCCTTCTTTGTAATCTCAGTGTTATACTTTTAATACATTGGACTCCTTGCGCTGCCTTCAGTTCTTAGAATGTGTGCCAATAATTTACATAAACATAACCATGGATATTTGCATATGAAGGCAGAGTGTAATATTGGATTTAGTTGGAGTGATTTATTCCTGGCCCACTCAGTTGGCTGTTGTAGATTCTTATTTTTTCACATGAATCACAAATGGAAAAGGATCTGGAATATTTAGGAAGATAACTTTTCTGGCGAATATTTTTTTTTTTTCTGTCACACACTTCTTTGTTACAACTCTATAGATAATGAGATAAAAAAAATGTCTTACCCCTGTGACATCCATAACCTTAATGGCGGCAAGCTGGCCTGTTTTGACATGACGACCCTGTAGGAAAAAAAAAATAAAACAATTTCAAAAGGTTTAGTTGTGATGAACAATTTAAGTTTTCCATTCCCAACCATAAAAATCAATGCCTAAATCAGTGTTACAGTATACCAGCAACCAGACAGACAAAAACACAGATAGACACATAAAACTTCATAGGGTGCTTTGAAGATCTACTTCCAGTTAGAATTTGTTTTTTGTTTGTTTGTTTGTTTGATTTTTATTTTTTTTTTTAGCAGTTCCCATTATGTCATCTTTTTGTCTTCTTTTCACAGGGGTTACCTCGTAAATGAAATGGCAATCTTTCTCTCAAAAGCACTAGAGAAGAGCTTGTGTGAGAGGCAGGTTCCCACAGCAGTAGAGACTGGCCTGGAAGGAGGGGGCCAGCACACCTCAGCAAACAGGAACTAAAGACACTTTCTTTCAGTTCTTAAATACTTTGCATTTTGGGCTGGGAATGTGGCTTAGCAGCAGAGTGTAAGTCCAGCATGCACAAGGTTGTAGGTTCAATCCCCACAAGCAAAGAAAAACATTAAACAAAATCAACTGTCTAGAACTGCTGTCAGCTGAGTTTTGGTAAATGCATGTGGCCAGCGTTTAGTGAGGGGGAAGGAGGGACAGGAATTACCACTTTCCACTCCTTTCATGCCCAGCTGCATCTGAAGGTGATGGAGGGGAACAGTGCTACTGGGACTTAGCACACTGGCTGGGAATGTCTGAGTTGAAGCAGGCAAGGTCACAGGAAGCATAGAGGCCACAGCACTCTGTTGATGTCAGCGTCATGGAGGTCCGGGGATAACATGACACTGTTGTACTTTCTTCAGGGAGAGACCCACACCCTGCTTTAAAGGCTGCCAACCACATCTTGAACAATGTTGTTTTTTTCTCCAAAGAACTTAGAGAAGGACACCTGCAGCACAACGTAGGGGTTCAATGTGCTATCACCTAACTAATCTATGTTACAATTCTCGGAGATGGTTCCCTTGGGCTGGGCAAAGGCAGCCCTTGCAAGTGGCTGGCTGCATACTCCAAGGGCTCCGGTGTGCAAACCAGCTTGGCAGAGGCCCACTGGCTTTGACTTTGGTTTATCTATTTGCAATTCTGTGCGTGTGTGTGTGTGTGTGTGTGTGTGTGTGTGTGACTGAGGGCAGGGTGAGAACTGTATTTTTCTTAGTCTCTGGAATGGCCTGTCTTCTAGGTCTAGGATGCCCTCTGTCTTCTCGATCCTGCAATCTATCTCCCCTTTTCTAGATTTAATTGAAATATCACTTCTCTCCCTGTCAATCAGTCCTCATGCTTATGCTACCTTGTTCCCATCATTTCATGATGCCCAAAGGATCAGCATTTGCCTTCCTGTCTTTTCCTTTCTCTCCCCACTGGCATTATTTGTAGCACCACCGTTCAAATCAGACCTTAATTGGAACTTCCTCTGATCAGCACTTTGATCACCCAAATCTAAACACATACTCTGAGTCCCTTTCTTCCAATGGAGGTCTGTGGGGGGTACTTCTGCCAACCTAGAATTTGAAACATTATGTACGAGGTTTTAAAGTGCTTTAGAAGCACAGGATTAGGTCCTCCCCTATCAGTGGACTTGGAAAGGGGCAGGGAGGAGACCAGGGAGGGAGTGTGGGGTTGGGGAGGGAATGAGGGAGCGGGATACAGCAGGGACACAGAGTTAACAAAATGTAACTAAGAAGAAATATAAAATTAAAAAAAAGAAAAATTTGTTACAAAGATACTCCAATGTCTAATTAAAGAGCAGCAGCTGGGGCAGAGAATAGCTATCCTACAGTGTGATGCTGGCCTGAGGCCAGAGAACAGAGGCGAGAATCAACCCCTGTTCAACTTCACATAGAAGGCACTGGCCAGTTCTTGGTTTGAAATCAATAAAAATAACTATTTTTTAAATTAAGGGTACATGATTTTATGTGTATGTGGGACTTCATTTTTTTTTTTTTTTTTTAGTGTTCTCTGTGAATGTAGAAAGTAAAGT